CAACACGCTCGGTGAGGTGAGCATCTACAACATATCATCAATACCAAACCCTCACGCATAAAGTGTATGGAAGGCTTTGGCAAACAGGGCCTAAGAAAGTTTGCATATTGCGGTTGATCGTGGCTGAGCTAATATCAGATTGTTTAGATTTAGTAGATGCCTTTTACGGAGTTGCAAATTGTGAATTGTTTTTGTTGCAGGTTGCAGCTATGTGTGGCAGAGCAAACTTAGAGCAACTCGAGGTCGCTGAGGTTCAGTTTTTTCTTTAAATGATACGCGCGAACATGTTGCAGGCAGCTCCGTGGTTTGCCACCGCTTCCGTTGCAAAATCTGCGATGCTCATGGCTACGCAGTTCGTTGATCGTGAAAAGTGCCAATAACAAAGAATAGGTTCTCCTCAATGCCCAACATCCGACGTGAAATGAAGCACAGCGGGTCTGTTCGGGGTGTTGCGCCAGGAAAACCGAAATGAGCCCTGCGTGAACCTTGACGCCAAGCCTTCAAATCTCCGTAACGTCTACGATATCAAAAGCTGGCAGAAATAACGGCGCAGGTCATTGTCCAAGATCGGGATGGCTTCATGGCGGAAAAAGGCACTACACATAAGACTCTCTGCTGGTTCCAGGATTGGGGTTAGGACTCTCGATGCTGAAGGTGTTGGTTTTTGCTTTGGACCTGTCCGATTTACGCAAGGCTATACGTCCCGGCTCACTTTTTGAAGGGTTGTTGAATGGCCAGAATGGGCCTTGCGCATGTGATTCCTCTTTGTCACCAGACCAAGGTAAGAGGAGAAACTTCCGCATTGGAGGTTTTGGCTTCTGTGGTTTTCTGTATCGCAGCGCATGCGCACCCGACGGTAACAGTTAATATAGAAACCTGAGTACTTCGTAATCCCTAGGGTTCTTGATAGTAAAACCCTATTCTACTAACTGTTAAGGCCTCTACAGTAGGATTTGCCCAAGCTAGCCAAAACTACAGGGCTTTCGGTGTCCTCCGAAGGAAAGCCCTCAGCTTTGCAATTGGGTTCTGCAAGTTCTGTGCAGATTACATAGAGTAGAACTCGGGTGATTGTTGAAGTTCCCGAAGATTCTTCGACACTCCGTAGAAGGCATGTGCTCATACTTCGTGACGCAGGTGCCGAGAGGGCTTTCTACGGGCAGGGCTGCTACTTTGCCGAGTTTGTTCAGCTTCTCCGCAGCACTGAGTCACTAAGGTGCCGCAAAGTTGCCTTGCTCTGGGCTTTGAGTTCTGCCTTTCCGTCTATCCCGATCAACACTAAGGTGCCGAAGTTGAAGGGTTGAGATTTGGGGCGCCGGGCTCATGTTGAGGCTCGACAGTACAGCGTTGTAAAGTTGGAGTCGGGGCTGCCACTGCCTTTTCAGCTCTCTTTTCACGCAGAGTCAAGATTTGTCAAATGTCCGTGGCTTGATGATGGTATCATTTGTCCATCCAATCGATCGATCGTCTAGTAGTGACTTAGTAGCATGTTCGTGTTGTTTCTTCCCTTGTGTTCCTCTGGGAACGAGGATCTTTACGTGCCTCAGGCTTCGTGTATGCATGGTAGCAAAGTGGCACAGGCGCTTGGCCTGCATGAACGGAAAGACTCAGGGCCGGTTGCCCCAAACCCGAGGACCTTGTTCATAGAGGGGCATATCATAGTTACCTAATACCTATACTATGTTTTGGGGGGCTCCTTTTTGCAATTATAGTATACTATACCCCAAAACCCTATTCCAATTAGCCCCCACATTATACTGTTAGTCCTTGCAGGGTATTCGGGGACCGGTCGTCGACGCCCCAGGTACGCCCACCACTACAGCCACGTGGTTGCCGGAAATACTGCGCCGGGGCCCTATACGACACAGCTCACGCTAGGTTATCTGACCCGGAACCGCTTTTGCCCCACCACGACCCGCGAAGACGCATGCTTCCACTCCACACTCAAAACCAAAGAAATCGAAAGCACAATTCCAAATCCCTAGATCACGAAACATTTAAAAGTATGCCTGCGGGCTCATGGGTGCTTCAACGCAGAGGGATGGGTGTAAGGCAGCTGTACTAAAATCATAAAGCATGTGCATCTCCTGATCCTTACGACCCGGAGCTCTCACGTCAGAGAGTCCGAACCCCAAAGTCCCCGAAGACAGAATGTCTCGAACTGGATAGGAAGTGGGCAGACCGCTGTCACTTTAGGCGTGAGGCAGGCATTTGCTCTGTTTTGGACGTCTCGTGCTGTCCCAAAGTGCAGAATCGAGGGTTTGGGTGTTTTGGTTCACGCCTCATGCCTTGATCGGTCTCTATATAGCTTGCTGCATCGTAGCTTGAGGTTCGGGATCCTGAAGCCTGGCTTCAAATCCCCAAAGCTTCTTGAAGGTGAGTGGATGATGCAGCGGAACAAACTCTGCAAGACGGATTCTTCTGTATCAGCCATAGCCCTTAGCCAGCTCCAGGATTTCCTTCGACGCATTGCGCCATAGCGACGGACCTTGTGCCGTTGTGCAAAGGTACCATGTAGTGAAATCCTTCGGGCATGCAACGGTTACTCTGTGTTACCTCCCGCAAAGCCAAAACCGTGCAGGCCACAAACCCTAATCTCCGTACGACACATCGGCCTCCGGCCTGCAGATCCCGAGCCGTCCCTAACTTCTTCGATCCGTATCTTTCTGCAGAAATGTTCAGAAATGCGCATGTCGCAAGGACTCGGCAATTGGTGTTGGCAGACGTGCTATGCGGCCGAGCAGCTCGTGGTGCACTGCAGAGCTCAGGGTTTCGAGCTATACGGGTTTAATAGAGCTGGCAAAATGGGAGAAGTATTGCATATGCATGTAACCAGGTAAGCATGTAAGCAGCGCTGTGCGTCCATCGGAATGTACTGTACTTAATGTATGTACTCCATGTAACTCAACTAAACGTAACATCATGTAATGTAATGTAGTGTAATCCAAGATATACACATAGATATGTATATATATATATACATACATGCATGCATGCATACATGCACGCATGCATGCATGCATGCATGCATGTATGAATGTATGTATGTATGTATGTATGTATGTATGTATGTATGTACGCATGTATGTTCATATGTGTGGGTGTGAGTGTGTGTGCGTGTGTGTCTGCATGCACAATCCCATGCATGCATGCGCGTATATCTGTAGCTATGTCTAGCTAGCTCAGAATGCAAGATTCATACGCGTAGCCTATATGTGTACTTGTCTATGTCGCTCTCGCTCTCTCCCTCTCCCTCTCTAAATATTTGTTTCTTTACAGGTGCAGATCATATAATAGATATAATCATCAATATATGAACATGAAACATATGTACACACACTTTTGGCACCAGGTGGAGGCACAAGGCAATCTTAACAGGCTGTAAGTAGCACCGGTTATGCTCGAATCAGGAATCTGGACAGCCGGCAATTTGTCTCCGGTTGTGATTTGCAAACGCTAGCAGAATACTTTCGAGAACTCTTTAATAATTCTAATATCTCTCGCGCTTCAGTATCGGTTTCACATTCGCCGAGGGCACGATGTAGGGCTTCGGAAACACATCTGGCTCGAATCCCGCATTCCCCAGCAGTACTATTACTACAACTTGAAGTTCTCACCCAAAAAAAGATCTTCAGAACGTCGCACGCGGACCTCTCACCTCCAAACCCGAAAGTCCCGAGTCTTTGCAAAGCCTCATGCTCAAAGCATCTAGGAAGGAGTTGAGGACATGCCATGTTGATTCGATTTCCGAGCACACCAAGCCACAGAAGTAGTAGTAGTAGTAGTAGTAGTAAGAGGTGCAGTAGTAGCAGTAGTAGTAGTAGTAGTAGTAGTAGCAGTACTATTATACCTACCAGCCTACCTACCTACCCACCTACCTACCTACCTACCTGCCTACCTACCTACCTACCTGCTTACCTACTTAC